TTTCCATTTCCATTCTTTTTCAACTGCATCATATATTTTCCCCATTTTTCTTAAAATAATCCATTTTCATCTTAGTTTATAGTACATTACATGTGTTACTCAAATCCTGCCAAAGTTTTTAGTTGTTTACAATATTTTCTTAGATAATTTGTAAATTTCTCCTATTCCTTATTAAAGTTTCTTTCTTCCTGGTTTCCAATTTCCCCAGTCATTTTCGCCATTTTGGCATAGTCCATCATCTTTTTCAGTCATTCGTCTCTGGTTGGGACTTTATCTTCTTTCCATCTCAGCATGACAATCCTTTGGGGAAAATTTGGGGAGGGAATGAGTTGGCCCAGCTTATGGAACCCTTGATGAAGATGGTTTAATTACTCCATTACAGTGGTACCTCGGGTTACATACGCTTCAGGTTACAGACTCCGCTAACCCAGAAATAGTACCTCGGGTTTTGCTTCAGGATGAGAACAGAAATCGCACAGCGGTGGCGCTGCAGCAGCAGCGGGAGGCCCCATTAGCTAAAGTGGTGCTTCAGGTTAAGAACAGTTTCAGGTTAAGAACGGACCTCCAGAACGAATTAAGTACTTAACCCGAGGTACCACTGTATCTTACATTGTTTTGTCCCTATAGTCTGCAGCAGAGGAAAACATGTTCTCACATTGGTTTCCGCTCCCTTTAATTCCTCGTACAAATGAAGGTACCCATTTCACTGATGCACGATTAAGGACGCTTTGTTGGTGGGCCCTGGGTCTCCTCTCTGATCGTCCTCCTGCCACCAAATTGGCCAATGGTGGCAGGAATTAGAGGGCATTGCCTTAGCGCGGGACCAACTGACCAATATCGTTGCTTGGCCCGGGGTCCAGGGCAAGGATAAATTCCCAACCTGTTGGGCCGTTGGGCCTGAGGAATATCCCTACCAACCATGACTCCAAGATGTTCTTGCATTCAGTGCCACATCTGAAAGGAGCTATTATATATGCATATCAGGGATATGCACAATTAAGTATCTCAATTATTTCTTTTAATTTTTTTATTTCATAAAATGTATATGCCACTTGATTATTAAAAACTTCAAAGCAGATTCCAAAAATAATCAAACAATAAACTTGAGAAAAATTTGCAACCTTAAACACACAAAAATAAAAATACTAAAACAGATTCAAATGACCTCAATTTTCTAAGCATCTGGGTAGGCTTGTCTAAATAAGAATGTTTTTAACAGGTACTGAAAGGAGTACAGAAAGTGCAGGGGCTGCCACAATAAACAAATGAGTTCATACAAATCAGAAATGAGTATGATGTGGTGTAGTAGTTCTTGTTGTTTATTCGTTTAGTAGTGTCCGACTTTTCGTGACCCCCTGGACCAGAGCACGCCAGGCACTCCTGCCTTCCACTGCCTCCCGCAGTTTTGTCAAACTCATGCTGGTAGCTTCGAGAACAGTGTCCAACCATCTCGTCCTCTGTCGTCCCCTTCTCCTTGTGCCCTCCATCTTCCCCAACATCAGGGTCTTTTCCAGGGAGTCTTATCTTCTCATGAGGTGGGCAAAGTATTGGAGCCTCAGTTTCAGGATCTGTCCTTCCAGTGAGGACTCAGGGCTGATTTCCTTCAGAATGGATAGGTTTGATCTTCTTGCAGTCCATGGGACTCTCAAGAGTCTCCTCCAGCACCATAAATCAAAAGCAGGTATAGTAGTACTAATACCACTAATTGAAGCAGGGTGGTGAGCTTATGCCTACTGAGCTCTAGGAACCTGTTTTTGGACCAGATGATAGGGTGGGTCTTTCAGCTTGGGGGGTGGGAGCGTGTCCACTTTCTCTTCGCACTTTGGCCACATGCCAAAAACATTATCTGAAAACCTCTTTAAATTCCCCTCTCCCAACTTACTGTTAGTCACAGAAGCGGGGATGGGGAAGAGGTAGAAGCAGGATTGCACCTGTCCTGTGTCATGATCCTTAATAGTGCTGTAATGCTGGGTGAATCTGGATTATAACTGAGGAGCAGGGCATCAGTGCAGTTGGCATTACCTGAATATGAAATATGCCTCTTAAAGGGCTGTCTTTGACCCTGGTAACAGACCTTGCTTTATACATATCCCGGAAAGTACAAGCATATATCTGGAACTCTTAATAATAAATTAAAGGTCAGCGCCCTGATCCTGTGTTACTTTCCATTTAATCATCACTTCATGTAAAAAGGAATAGAATTCTGTCTAGATGATGAAATCGTCTTATATTAATAAATTCATTATTCAAGAAAAACCACAGATAACCAATTAGTCATTTCTAACTAGGACCATGTCCCTTCAACTTCAACCAGAATAAACAAAGTGGTAAACAGACAGGAACTTGCAAGAAAGAAGCAATGATTCCAAGGAATGAAGATACTACAATATTAACTCAACCAGGAAGCTCCACCTCCTTTTCTGAGATTTACACGGGTTCAAAATAGTGTTCATGCCCCAGATTTTCAATCGTTGGGAAGCTCAGAGCTCCACTAGAACTCCCTTTTCACTTTCTGATCTCAAGGTTGAACTCTTTAGCTTTGCTAGAATATGGACCAAGGAATGAGTGACACACACTGTAGTCACGGTGATATAAGATTTTAAGGGCAAATCTTAATTTTGAAACAGAAGGCACACATCTTCTATCCCTGACTCAATGATCTACTTACAGCTAGATCAGGTATATTAACTCCTTTTCTCTTTCTGATTAGTATGTGTCTATGGCAAATGGTTGTGTTCACTGTTCAAGCTTGGGTAATTAGAGAATCTCTTTTACCCTTCAAATCTAAGGTACAGTGGTACCTCGGGTTAAGAACTTAATTCTTTCTGGAGGTCTGTTCTTAACATGAAACCGTTCTTAACCCGAGGTACCACTTTAGCTAATGGGGCCTCCCGCTGCCTCTATGCCGCCACCGTGCGATTTGTGTTCTCATCCTGAAGCAAAGTTCTTAATTCAAGGTACTATTTCTGGGTTAGTGGAGTCTGTAACCTGAAGCGTCTGTAACCTGAAGTGTCTGTAACCCGAGGTACCACTGTATATACACCGCTGTCCACCTGTAACCTTGCTGTCCGAAAGAGCATCTGTATACTCTGTCTTTCATTTCATGTCATAAACCAATTCTTCTTTAATGCTCTTGTTTGTGAACATTTTTATTAGGTATATGGGTTAACAGTAGAGATGGATTCATAACACATGCACATATTGACTATGGCAAAAGTTTCGAATCCTCTCAGGAATGTGCATAGAACACATGTAAGTGGTGGACACACATATGGGTTCAGATGCATACCTTGTAACAGTGCTTCTGTGGGGCTGGATCATTCCCTTAGTGTGTGTAGTCCAGGACTGCCTGTTACTAATATATAGACAAAGCAGTCCAAGTTAAATAGTTCCCAGCCTCTTTCTTTTTCAATGGGAGCAATGCTAGCAAGTGCCTAGCTCTCTCTCCGGAAGCAAATGGAAGTTGAAAGTGTTTTGGCTTGACTAGTTCATGCCCCATGAACTTCAGTGAGTTTCTTGCTGTACAGTTAATCACAGTAGGAAAACAAAAGGAAAACAATATTATCTTGATGGCTCTGCCTGACCTTAAATTTTACTGCATGCTCAAAGTAGAATTAATCTTCTGGCAGTTTAAAGTAGTTGACATTCTTGCTGTGAACAAATGTCAAGGGAGATTACACATTCCTCCAGGATAAAAGGAGTAAATAACCCAAAGAGGAGTGCTAAGTTCCCCTCTAGGATCAATGGCAAATAAGAGCGATGCCTTTGGGACATCATGATCTACAAGTGTTCAGATTGATTCCCTGCATTGTTGTTAGTATCAGCCTGAAGACAGGTACTGGAGTTAAAGATGTCAAAGGATGTTTTGAACCTTCAGGCGCTGATATTGCTGCGGAGAGAATGCACAACACTGCTCATTCTACAGTAGACACGTTTAAAGGTAAGGCAACCTTTCTCACATATTTACAGAATGGGAAAAGATGAGGTCCACATTTTATCACCACTGGAAATTTTTGATATTGCTTATTGATGTTGCTTTTTGATATTGCTGTGCAAAATCAATTCAGCTTCAGAATTTAATAAAACCACTGAGATCTGCCCTGCAATACAATCTCAAAGTCTTGAGTAATCCTGTGGTGCTGGATGATATGTGCCCCTCTTAAAGGTAAAGGTAAAGGGACCCCTGATCATTAGGTCCAGTCGTGACCGACTCTGGGGTTGCGGCGCTCATCTCGCTTTGCTGGCCGAGGGAGCCGGTGTACAGCTTCCGGGTCATGTGGCCGGCATGACTAAGCCGCTTCTGGCGAACCAGAGCAGCGCATGGAAACGCTGTTTACCTTCCCGCTGGAGCGGTACCTATTTATCTACTTGCACTTTGACGTGCTTTTGAACTGCTAGGTTGGCAGGAGCAGGGACCGAGCAACTGCAGCTCACCCCGTTGCAGGGAATCGAACCATCAACCTTCTGATCAGCAAGTCCTAGGCTCTGTGGTTTAACCCACAGCGCCACCTGCGTCCGTTATGTGCCCCTCTTACTACCCCCCAAACCCCACCCTCCTCTGCTAGGAGAGGAACAACAGAGAGAGAGAGACAGAGAGAGAGGAGAAGAAGCAGCAGGAGCAGCAGGAGCTGCTGCCAAGTGTGTGGCTAAAAATACCCAGTTACAAAATTCACATTGTGAGAGCCACACCTATACATTTTCTAGTTTCTTTCAAATACGCTTTCAGTTTAGTTCTACCCTTTTTCTCCTTTCTTTTTTTGTTTTCCAATGTTCAGATCTTATCTACATTTCGTGCTGGCAAGTGCAAAATGGAGCAATCATGTCATGATTACAGAATTTAGGTGATAAATCTGGCTAGCAGAAAGTGAACGGTGTTCAAACACCTCACCATTGTAAAATTCACACTCCAAACCTAGAATGACATATGACAAAGATTGCTTCAACACTGCCGTAAATTAAATCCTTCCATTCTTGTTTTCCAGTGTGCAAATCTTATCTACATGATCTCCTGGCAAGTGCAAAATGGGGCAAATCAAACCATGATCACAGAATTCATTCTCCTGGGGTTTGAGGGTGGTCAGAATCTGCAAACTGTTCTCCTGTTGCTGTTTTTGGCAATTTACATTGTGACCATCTCTGGGAACCTTATCATCCTTCTGCTTGTTGTGTCTGACCAGCACCTTCACACACCCATGTATTACTTCCTAGGGAACTTGTCTTGCTTGGAGACCTTCTACAGCTCCACCATTCTGCCCAGGATGCTCTATAGTCTCTTTACAGGGGACAGGTCCATTTCATTCACTGCTTGTGTCACACAGTTTTACATTTTTGGCATACTTGTTACTACAGAGTGCTTCCTCCTAGCCGCAATGTCCTTTGATCGTTACTTAGCCATATGCAAGCCATTGCATTATGCTATCCAAATGACAGACAGATTGTGTCTTCAACTGGCTGCTGGTTCCTGGGTGAGTGGGGGCTTAGCTGCTACCATAACCACATCTCTCATGTCCCAGTTAGTCTTTTGTGGCCCTAATGAGATTGACCACTTCTTTTGTGATATTGGCCCAGTCATTGACTTGTCATGCAGTAATACGCATACAATAGACACCTCAATTTTAATATTGTCATCACTGTGTGCCTTTCCTCCTTTCCTGTTGACCCTGGCATCCTATGTTTGCATCATCACCTCCATCCTGAAGATCTCTTCGCGTTCCAGCAGGCAGAAGGTTTTCTCTACTTGCTCCTCTCACCTGATAATGGTGACAGTTTTCTATGGGACACTGATTATAGTCTACATTGTACCCAAGACAAGCATCCTGAGAGACTTGAACAAAGTTTTTTCTCTCCTGTACACCATATTGACTCCCCTTCTCAACCCCATCGTATATAGCTTAAGAAACAATGATGTCAAGGAGGCCCTTAAAAAGGGTTCTATGAAATTTGCAATTCATACAGGAATTTAGAAGATGGGCTGCAAATTTCACAGCACCATTTATTTATTGGTAATATTCCTCACATACTTCTCTGCTTAGATGCAGATCTCTGGAGTACTTTCAGCAGTAAGGCTCACTTAGTGGGTGTGGGGGGATTATGATGTAAAATATTTATTAAGCATTTCTACACCAGCCCATCATGGGTGGTATAAATAATAAAGATAATTCATGTGGTAAAATAGATTCTCCCACTAAAATCTCTGAAGCACTTTGGTCAAGAAAGCTGCTTATTTCTGCATCTTGACTGTCTGTTGGGACTGCTCAGAAAAAATAATTTTGGATTTTAAAAAAATAAATAAATAAAAATCTAGGTCCTTAAGAAATGTGTCTTAGTTTATTACAACTAATGCAATTGCATGTTTTCTTTATGTCAGGAGTGGGGAACATTTTCAGACCGATGGCCTCTTTCTTTCTGAGCAAAGTTCAATTCGGGGAAGGGCAGTAGTAAAAATGGGCCATGCAATCAATATAATTTTTTACTTTCCTCAGTAGGTTTATTTCTACACACTGGAAGAGGAAGACAGTATAGAGTTACAACAGGGGTTTGCAGGAGGTTACAGCTCAAAGGTAGATGGGAAAGTTGAGAAATAACAGCTGACCGACATGTTGTCATTATAAAAAATTCTAGACCCACCATCTTCCAGAACATGACGAGCCTTAAAAGTAGGAAATCAAAGAGGTCAAAGACTGAGGGCACTTAGCGGCACCTGTAAAGGAGGAGATAATGACGACAAATGAGGAAGTGGGAGAGACGGGGTGTATGTGGAGATTCACTCAGAACAATGGCATTATCCCAGAGTCTGGGTTCTATAGCCTCTCTCTGTAGATTTTTTTTAAATAAAAAAGGACTGTAAGAAACTTTTCCTTGTCTTTATACTTTCCTGGGCAACCAGGATGACAGCATCCTGACAGACACAGACCTCTTTTTGCTTCATCCATGAAAACAAACGGGATTATCAGAGCTCAAGGACACATTCCAGTCATCTGAAAACACTCACTGAGGTTTCTAAGCAGGGTCAGTGGGAGGAAGGTGGCCTGGAAAGAGATGTGTGCGGCCAATGAAGTGTTGTGGTGTTTGGGGAGTCCCAAGATCCAAACAGAGAAACTTGGAGGGACCCATTTGGCTCCTAGACATGAAGTTCCCCAGCACTTTCCTACACTGTATGCTCTCATAGTGTACATTGCGTGGCTTTCTTTCCCAGTTTCTTCCCAATGTGTTGACTTTCTTCCCAAACTGCATGACAATACATTTAAAAACATTTATCTGAGCTTTAAACAACCCCTCCCAAAACATTATAACAATTCTAATAAGTAGGAGCAGATAAGAGGGATCCATCCTCTTTGGATCAGCTGTGTCTCCTTTGAATTTGAGAAAGGTTGATTCCTCCTTTCTCAAATCAACATTTCTCAAATTCAAAGGAGACACAGCTGATCCAAAGAGGATGGATCACAATATGGAACAGATCAATGGGCTATTCAGAATCTGTGGAATAGTGGATGACTTTACCAGGTGGCTCAGTGGTTTTCTCACTGCCTTCATCCTTATCCCCTTTCCCCTTTAACACTTTTAAATTAGGATATCTGTCTGTCCACAGATCTATCTGGGCAGCCATCACGTGGTGGTCCTTGCTGTCACACACTTACTCATAGAGCAATCACCCTGAGAGCGAGGAGACTTGATGACATTATGTCACTCTCAGGCAGTGGCGTAGCGTGGGGGGTGCAGGGGGGGCAGCCGCACCGGGCGCAACATCTGGGGGTTAGGGTTAGGGGGCGCAAATCCACGGGTTAGGGGCGCAAATCCACGGGTTAGGGGGTGCAAATTACTTGCCTTGCCCCGGGTGCTGACAACCCACGCTACGCCACTGCTCTCAGGGGGAATTGTGTGGCGAAAACATGGCTGCCCCATGTAAACAATGGTGGCAGATATATTTTTCTTAGTCCCATCCTCTCTGAAAACAGGGATGGACCAGAGTTCAGGGGGTCTATCTATGCCTACGTAAGAAACAATAATAATGCCAAAAACATATTCCGCTCAGTATAAATATTAAGATCCCATACATGAATATTTCTAACTAAAACCATTTTCTGTATTTGCATATCCAGTCAAATCTTGTTTAGGGTTGGAGGTGAAACGCTATTGTGTGGCCCATTTACACAGTTTAATAGGAAAAATATATTCCATTTGCCACTTGCTATACTTTCCCTCAAAATACATTTCCCCCCATTTCTGAAAGGGAGACAAAAGGTACAAGTGGAAGTGGGAGTGGTTGGTTGTGGGTCTAGTGGTGTAAACTCCAGTGTGAGGTGCTTCTCCTCAAGGAGCACTGTGCTCCAATTGGGGCCTCTGTATTAAGCTGGGGACACACCCATCTCTGAGGGATCCTTTTTGCAATATTCACTCCAGTTCATACATTATAATCTCTGTATAAATCAGACATTTTGAACTACAAGAATTAATTACCTGGAGATTTAAAACCTAGCCCTCAGAAGTACTAGGCTTTGGGCAATGTAGCAATCCCATGGAACTGTAAATAACCTAGGTATCTCTCTGGGGTTTAGGATGCTGTTTGCATCATTCATATAGTTCAGAAACCAAGCAAATTAGCAGCCACTCTCCCAGGATCATTTCCTTTAAGTGCTTATGAGAAGCTATTCTATGAACACGCATTCACCATAGGTGAGAATATGCCAGTTTTTTTTATAAAGGATTTGGAGAAATGGTGCTAATGAATCCTGGGACATCTGTGATTGTGACAGTGACTTACTACAGGTAAGTTCTAGAACACTGCTATTCTTGGCAGCATTGTACCATCTTTCAATGCCCCCTTTGACTTTAATGCCAACAAATTCATTAATTCAATGATTTTTAAATTGATTGTCAGTAAAAAAAAATAAGTCTATGCTCTCAAGCTAATGTAGTTTACTGTGTTGCTCTCCTCCCTTTTTATCCCAATTAAAGAGGTTGAGATTATTTTTTTGACAAAATATGCCACATCATCATATAGAGAGCATGAATGATAAAGATATATCATGAACATTCAGCTCTTAAATGCAATCATGATTTAACTAAGACCCAATGATTTATATGGGAACGAAGTCCCACTAATATTGAAATATATCCAACTAAGTCATTCCCTCAGTAGAGCCACTGGAATGGGCACAACCAAATCCATGGTTTCCCTGGGTCTGCTCTGAGTAAGACAGAATATAATCCTTAAATTTAGATCCAAGCCACTGATTTTATCCTATGCCACCTTGGAATGTACTTTAACCTGATAATAAGGCTGAATCATTTGAAAACAAAGATAAACTCTCCTCATATTTGAACTGACTCATTCAGTGGCCTTAGAATGCTGACTGCCTGTCGGTGATGGTGAATGAGAAAGCATGGGAAGGGAATTCAGTATCCTGAAATGAACCATGGCATGGCCGGTTAGAACACAGAACAGGAGAATTCCACGCTGCAACAGTTTGTTGTAGATACAAATGCCCTTGTCCTTGCCTAGGGAACAAGCTCAGGATGCCTGCACTTTCAATTGCTGATTTCAACTGCCGGTCTTTCATATTTAAACTAAGTTGTGACCTTCAGACCAATCACATTCCTAGTGCAGGGAACAAAATTGACTAACCCAACTCAAAATAGACTGCACAGTTACAATAGGAGCTCATGTACAAAATGTTCTTGATATTTCTCCTACACTAAAACGTATGTCCTCCCGGTTAGATTTTAAAGTTGGTGTGACATTTGTTGGATAAAAAGACAATGTTGGATATAAAAGAAGGAAACCAAACAGTCATCACGGAATTCATCCTCTTGGGATTTGGGAATCTCCCTGAGCTGCAGCCTTTTCTTTTCTTGCTCTTCCTGATGGTTTATATTGCGACAACAGCTGGGAACCTGCTGATCTTTTTCCTGGTTTGGGCAGATCAGCACCTGCACACCCCCATGTACTTCTTCCTGGGGAAGAACCATTGAACCATTGAAATTCTTGGACCTCAGTTAGTCATATTCATAGCTTTCCATGGGTTTACTCTGAATAGAACTGATGGATACAAGCCAATAACTTTTGTCTTAATCATTTCCCTCCAAGAACTGACCTTCCATTTCTGCTGTTTCTTGAGCTCCTGTGTGACTTGGGCTAAGTGGCACACTTAGATAACAGCATATGGGAAGTCACTAGTCACAAGAAGAAAAAAAGGGGCAGACTTCCAGGCACTTAGGATAGTGTAACAGTTCCCCATCAGGTATATAAATCACTCATGCAGTGTTTTTTCTTTGTGCTGGGAGGTCTCCCATTTTAAAGTCATCTGCTGAACTTTAGGATTGAGTGGGAATTTAAATCTAGGTATCCGCAGTGTAAGCATCATGCTCTAAACCAGTGTTTCCCAACCTTTTTTGGGCAAAGGCACACTTGTTTCATGAAAAAAATCTCGAGGCACACCACCATGCCAGATGGGGAAAGGTCACTTTTTACTTATGTAAAAAAAAATAAAAAAATAGTAACAGCATAGAAGGTAATGGTTATCTCTTTGATGTCTGATGGGAGGGCATTCCACAGGGCGGGCGCCACTACCGAGAAGGCCCTCTGCCTGGTTCCCTGTAACCTCACTTTTCACAGTGAGGGAATTGCCAGAAGGCCCTTGGCACTGGATCTCAGTGTCTGGGCTGAACGATGGTGGCGGAGACGCTACTTCAGGTATACTGGACCGAAACTGCTTAGGGCTTTAAAGGTCAGCACCAACACTTTGAATTGTGCTCGGAAAGGTACTGGGAGCCAATGTAGGTCTTTCAAGACTGTCGTTACGTGGTCTCGGCGGCAGGTAGCAGCGCTCACAGCTTACGGACTGCACCGTGTAACAGGTGTCTGGCCCAGCAGCCTAAGGCGGACAAGCCACTGAAACAGGCATTCAGAATCCATTCATTTCATAAAACCTGCAGGGCTCAATCTCTGTGTTTGTGTATGTGTGTGTTTCTGTTTTGCCCAAGGGTCTGGGGGTGGGAGAGAGCTCTTTAGCATGATGCTTTTAAAACAATTAAATTATCAACAAACAAACCTGATGATACGAATAGCAACGTCAGGTGCTACCGGGGGGGGGGGGAGAAGGGGGCCTACTCGGAAGTAAATACTGCGTCCAGGCGCAATTAGCGCTGATTTAAGGTGCACCAAGACTGCCTAAAAACCTCACCAAAGATATGCAACAAAGCGCTTCGTTGCAGAGGGGAGAGTTTGTGCACCGTGGAGGCTGGAGGGCTTCTATTCTACATGCGGGGGTTGGGGGGGCGAGGAAAATGTGCTCCGTGGGGGGGCGGGGAAGGCAAGAAAAGGAGCTGAGCTCTAACTATAGGCTCCCACGCTTGAGCAGGCCCGACTCGGTGGGGCGGACCACCCTCTCTCCTGGAGGAGGAGGAGGAAGAGGAGGAGGAGATTCCCATCCACGGCGTGGCCTCCCGCGCTCCTGAACGGGAAATCTCTGCAGCCCAAGACTCTCCGCGAGGCAGCTCCTCCCTTCCTGCCTTGAGCCACCGCCAGCCGCGCCCCCCTCCCCAGTTATCTGCTGCCTGCCAAGCCCCACCCCTCTTCATTGTCCTCCCCTTCTGTTTATTCCCCTTCCTCCATCCCTCGCTTTTTCCCCTCTCTTTCCTTTTTTTTAAAAAATATTTTCTCTTCCCCTTCTTTTTTTCCACCCTTTCTTTTTTCTCTTTCTCCCCCCCCCTCCCTGCCCTCCTGGGTTAAAGGATTTGAGCAATGGGTCTGGAGGTGGAGCTCGTCGGAGGATTAGCCCGACTCGCCCGCCTCCCTCCCACGGCACACTAGGCAACGTCCGGCGGCACACTAGTGTGCCGCGGAACACCGGTTGGGAAACACTGCTCTAAACCCACTCCAACTGGAGCACTGTATTGGCTGGGGCTGATGGGAATTGCAGTCCAAATCCTCTTCATGGAACCATGTCAGGGAGGTCTGCTCTAACCACTCTACAACACTGGCTTTTCACTAAGGAAGTTTTAGAAGAAGTGCTGATGAGTCTCCGTAATATTCTCTCTCTTTTTAAAGGCATGGGTTTATATATTCTAATCTTCAAAATGTCTCCAAGTGGATAATGGAAAAACAAACAAACGCTCCTTGTAATTATCCATATTATGTGCTTTGTCAACCTTTCAAAATTGTACTTGCATGCCGTGTTTGCAAAGGTCATGATCTGACGTTTTCGTTGATATTTTAACAAGAATATAAACCAATAAATGAAATTCTCTTCTCTTCCCAATAGCACTGGAGTCATATCAGACATGGGAAATGGAACAGTTGTTAAGGATTTCATCCTACTGGGATTCTCGAGTGTCTCACATAGCCGGATCCTTCTCTTCATACTCTTTCTGTCCATCTATGTGGTCACACTATCAGGGAACAGCGTCATCATTGGCGTCACTAGCATTGACTCCCGGTTGGCCACACCCATGTACTATTTCCTCCGGAACCTTGCAGCCATTGACATTTGCTACATTTCCAGCACGGTTCCACAGCTGCTAGTCCATTTCTTGAGCCAAACCCAGTCAATCTCGCTTCTGGCCTGTGCTACCCAGAACTACGCCTTTTTTGCCTTTGGTGTGACTGAATGCTTTCTTCTGGCTGTCATGGCCTATGACCGCTATGTGGCTATCTGCAACCCCCTAAACTACATGCTGGTGATGGGGCAGGGAGCATGTGCTAAGATGGCGGCTGCTTCATGGGTCTGTGGTTTCCTCCAATCAGTGGTCCTCACAGTGTATACCTTTCATGTGCCCTTCTGCAAGTCCAACCGTATAGACCATTTCTTCTGTGAGGCCCCTCAGGTGCTCAAGTTGTCCTGTTCTGACACATATATGAATGAAATGGTCATCTTTGCTGTGGCTGTAATGGTCCTCATTATCCCCCTCTCCCTAGTCTTTGTGTCCTACACCCGCATTGTGGGAACCATTTTGCGCATGAGCTCAGCAGCTGGGCGCCTGAAGACGTTCTCCACCTGTGCTTCACACCTCATCGTTGTCTCCCTTTTTTATGGGGCAGCCATTTTCATGTACATGAGGCCCAAATCCACCCACTCTGCCAATCAGGACAAGATGATCTCCTTGTTCTACTCTGTCATTACCCCTATGCTCAACCCCATTATCTACAGCCTCAGGAACAAGGAAGTGAAGGGGGCAGTGATGAGAATCCTGAGGAAAACACTGGATTCTTAGGTTGTATCACTGAAACAATAAATTGATTCTGTCAGTAATCAGATATTGTCTCCCTCTGGTGATAGCACTGATTCTGGGTTTTAGGGGACCCTTGGGTAAGATGCTCTCAGTAGTCCCCCCCCCTATTGACTCACTTCCTCTTCTTTGCTCCTGTTGCCACTTTCTATTTGTTTGCTTATTTCTCTGGGACCAATCTGTATCATTTCCGAGAGAGAGAGAGAGAGAGAGAGAGAATAATGCATGGGTCTCAAACTTTTTAAAGACTTGTGTGCATACTTACATTTCTTAGCAAGTATTGTGGGTGGCACCCATTTTGGTCACTTCTCTTCACCCTTCCCCTGTTGCTTTTTTTTTTTTTAAAAGGATCTGGGTCAAAGTTGGATATACAGTCATACCTTGGAAGTCAAATGGAATCTGCTCCGGAAGTCCATTTGACTTCCAAAATGTTTGACTTCCAAGGCACAGCTTCTGTTTGGCTGCAGGAGCTTCCTGCAGCCAATTGGAAGCTGCAGAATCCCTGCCGGATGTTCAGCTTCCGAAAGAACATTTTCAAACTGGAACACTCACTTCTGTGTTTGTGGCATTCAGGATCCAAAACGTTCGACTGCTAAGGCTTTTGTCAACCAAGGTACGACTGTAGTAGAATTAACATGAGCACTGAAAAGCAAATAAAGCTAAAACAGGAAGTGGGAAAGTGTCACTCTTCCAACTTCCTCCTGCAGCAGTATGTACTTTGCAAGTGGGGAAGGGAAAAAAAAGCCACCCCCAAATCACCTCACAACAAAGGGGGAAGTAAATGGAACACGATTATTCTCATTATTGAACGCAAGCTCTATTGGACACAAGCTATGCTCATTTTTCCATGCCAGAAAATTGGAGAACCAATTTAAAAAGACAAAATAAATCAGACTTATTAGGAAGTTGGGGGGGATGATGGAAATTTATATAGTTAATAACAAAAAAAGCAAGAGAAAATATTTAGGAGTGCGAAATAAATGAAACACAGTAACCTGTGATATTTCCACATGTGTGTCCCTCCCCCATTGCTGACTTTTGAGGCTGGTAGTCCAGCTGCTGTGGAATTTTGAATGTTTGCCCAGGAGAAACTTGGTAGCAGCAAAATATTATACTGTCTGTGAATGGGACTCTCTGGACTTCCATGTGCGTTAGCTGAAGATGATTGATGCTTTGTACAATAGGGCGGTTCACAAAAAACTTTTTTAAAAAAAATGCCTGCTCCAAAGGTCTTATCCTACTACACTAGGGATTACATAGCTATTTCTGAAATTTCATGCATATCAGTTAATATCTTGACCCTGCTCCACTGAATTGAAATTTCAGCCTTCACAACATAGGAAAACGGCCAAGTAAACAGTTTTTTCGTGGAGGCTTTGGAGCAGGCATTTTTCTTTAAAAAGTTTTTTTTATGAACTGCCCTATTGTACAACGGAGAATATCCAATGGAGAAAGAAGTAATGTAGGCATCTCTCTTGGGTTTAGGAGGCTCGCTGCATTATTAATCAGCAGCAACTCTCCCAGGATCATTTCTTTTAAATGCTTATGTAGAGCTGTTTCAAGATCACTCTTTCTTCATAGCTCAGAAGACTTCAGTTTTTTAGCATGAATCTGGACAAATGATGCTACAGACACTTAGGATATCCTTGAATATAACAAAGATTTGCTGCAGGTAATAATAATAATAATATTATTATATATATATAATTTATTATTTATACCCTGCCCATTTGGCTGGGTTTCCACAGCCACTCTGGGCGGCTTCCAACCGAATATTAAAAACAATACAGCATCAGACATTAAAAACTTCCCTAAACAGGGCTACCTTTCAGTTGTCTTTTAAAAATAAAATAGTTGTTTATTGCCTTGACATCTGCTAGGAGGGCGTTCCACAGGGCAGGCACCATTACTGAGAAGGCCCTCTGCCTGGTTCCTTGTAACCTCACTTCTCTCAGTGAGGGAACCGCCAAAAGGCCTTCGGTGCTGGACCTCAGTGTCCGGGCTGGATGATGGTGGTGGAGATGCTCCTTCAGGTATACAGGACCGAGGCCGTTTAGGGCTTTAAAGGTCAGCACCAACACTTTGAATTGTGCTAGGAAACGTACTGGGAGCCAATGAAGATTTTTCAGGACCGGTGTTAAATGGTCTCGGTGGCCACTCCCTGTCACCAGTCTAGAGATAACTAGAGTATGCACCACTCTGGCGAGTTATCGAACACTGCTATTCTCTGTAGAGTGATGCCATTTTAAAACTCTTATATGTCTTTGGGACATATCAGTTCATTAATTCAAGGATATTTGAATGAACCTCAGTAGCAGATATGGAGTCTAGCTCTGAGGTGAAGGCACTCTACTAACATGTTTTCATATCTCAGTCCAATCGTCTCTCCTCCTCCCAATTTAGAAAAGTGGAGCTCATTTTTGGCAAAATATTTCATGTCCTATTGAGAGCTTGAATAATGTAGACTCATAATAAAAACTAAATGTATATCTTTTGGTTGCATTCATGATGCTTTTGTTATATTGGATTTGATCTAGACCAGGAGTAGGGGAACTTTTTCAATCTAAAGGTCACATTTTATTTTGGGTAACGATGTAGCGGTCTAGAAGCAAAAAGCATCATAAGGGTTTAAGCACACATTTGAATCAGAAAGAAAGGGTAAAGGAGGGTGTCAAGAAGGACTGGCCATGGATGCTAGTCATTAAGGCAAAATGGGGTGGTGTCCTCCACCTGCACAAACTCTTCCCCCTTCCATTCCGTCAACTCCTAACTACAATGCAATTGCTTCAAGTCCACTATCTGCTTCTGCCTCCTGCTAGCTGCTGCACACAAAGTTCAGAACTCTTTATCTCTGTGGCTCACAGCTCTCCCTCTGCACATCCTGCAAGCTGGATGGGTGTTTCTTTCCACAACAGACTCTCTGAGGTAGAGGAGGAACACTGCCTAGAATCATTGTGATTAGCTTGGGGTGGGGGTAACTGAACAGGCACAACATTTCCTAGTTCACTCTAGCATTGCTAATGGCCACCCCTAGCCAATCCCATTGCTTGCCTCTGCCAGCACTTTAGCAATGAACCCACCCTAGGAGAAGATGCGAGAGCGGCAGCACGGCCTCTGTTGTGAATTTGGGAAAGCAGTTATTATACATCAAAGGATATGTAAATAACAAAAATTTCAAAATAATGTACATATCTATTTGGGGGTAATGGGCTCATGTCAAACCAACCAAACAACTTTATGCTGGAGAAAAATAGGAAAAAAAAACACATTTCTAGCAACCATCTGTGCCATGCTAGGGATCAAACAGACTGAAATAAATCCATTTCATTGTTCACTTTTGATGGATTTGACTGACATCCCTGTTGCGTTTACAAGAAAATTGCATGCACAAAATATAATTCATGGTTCTCCTACATTAAAATGTCTGTATTTCAGATTATATTTTATAGTTGATGTCTCATTTGTTTGACACAAGACCCATGTTGGATAGAGAAGAAGAAAACCAGACAGCCACAATAGAATTCATTCTCTTGGGATTTGGGAATCTCCCTGAACTGCAGCCTCTTTTTTTTGTCCTCTTCCTGATTGTTTTTATTATGTCACTAACTGGGAACCTCCTGATTGTTTTGCTCATTGTGGCTGATCAGCAACTTCACACTCCCATGTACTTCTTCCTGGGAAATTTATCCGGCATGGAGACTTGCTACAGCTTGATTATCTTACCCAAAATGTTGGCCAATTTGATAATTGGAGAGAGAACCATTTCTGTTCGTGGGTGCATAGCCCAATTTTATTTCTTTGGTTTGTGTGCTGGTATAGAAACCTATCTCCTGGCAGCAATGTCCTATGACCGCTATCTGGCTATATGTAGACCTTTACACTACAGCACCATTATGCGTAGAAGGTTCTGTGTTCACCTCATGGCTGCAACGTGGATTAATTCTTTGCTGGCTAACTTCATTGTGATCATCATGATGGCTCAGCTATCCTTCTGTGGTCCCAATGTCATAGATCATTACTTTTGTGACTTCATCCCGATTGTAAAACTGTCCTGCAGTGACACAAGCATGGTTGAAATCACCGCCCTTTTCTTTAATTTCAATTTTAATGTTGCCCTATTCTTATTGACTCTCACATCCTATGTTTGCATCATTGCCACCATCCTAAAGATCCCATCCACCACTGGAAGGAAAAAGGCCTTCTCCACCTGCTCCTCTCATCTAATTGTGGTTTGCATATTTTATGGCACTTTAATCATTGTCTACATGTTGCCAGACTCCCCAACTCTAAGAGGTCTGAATAAAGTCTTCTCCATTTTCTATACCATCTTGAATCCTTTGGTCAATCCTCTCATCTACAGCTTGAGAAACCAAGAAGTTCACAAAGCCCTAAGACGAGTTTGGAAGAAATTGAACATCTTTTGCAAGGCATGATCTGAACTCTTTTCTTTCCATTAAGTTTATCAGCTAGTCAAAGTACTCATGTATGCAGAACCCTGGCTCCAGTGGGAACTTTCTTCTTACTGTGAATAGTGTGTGTGTGTGACTTATAATTAGGATCACATCATCCTATAGTCCTGATCTTCTGTTCTCCATTTTCCCCTGTGGCTAGCTATTTGTTAAAGAATAATCAACTACTCAACAAAAGCAAATTATGTAATAAACATCAGATCTAGGTTTGCTGTTAGTTTTATTTAGGGGTTATGTTTTTTAAAAAATATTTTCTTTATCACAGAAATGCACACTCAAGTCATATCCCTGTTTGTCTATATGTACTCCCATCTTTTGCAGTCTTTTTAATGGGCTGAATCCAACCAAGTTGGATCGTTCCCATGAAATTAATGGATGTAAGTCTGTCAGATTCTTCATTTTAATATATTTCTTTTCAGAACTAATGTTGGATACAAGGCCATGTTTTTTGTCATGATCATTTTCTTTCAGGAACTGGTGTTCCTGATGTTTCCAATTCTGCAGTTTCTTGAGCTGTTCTGTGACTTGGGGTTCATTGATCAATTAGATAAAAGTGAATGGGAAGTCATCAGTCTCAAGAAGAAGGAAAAGGTGGTAACCCCCAGGTATATAGGAAAAGAATAAGAGTTCTCAACCTGGTCTATCAACCACTGCTGCAGCTTCCTTCTGTAGTCTGGTGTGTGTGTGTGTGTCTTACCTCTTTCCTATATGCGGAACACAACCATGACTTAGGTGGCCCATATACCCTCCAAAGTTCTCTGCTTCATGCCTTACTCACTTCTGAGTTCCATTGGACTGGGACGAGAATATGGCAGAGAGACTTCTCAGTTATGTCCAAGCTTTAAAATTCCTTCCCCGGGGAAGTTCATTCTTTCCTCCGCTACTTGGCCTTCCAGTGTTATATAATGGCTTTTCTTACCTACAAGACATTTGATCTGCCAAGTTGTTGTCCTAGTTTATCAGCTTCAGTGATAGTATTTGCCATCTTTTCTCTTCCATATTGATGTTTTACAGAAATGAGTTTTTAGGGTTCATTATGGTGTGAGCATTGTTGTTGTTGTTTGAATGACAAGCTAACCATGTTTCTAATTCATGTGATGAGCTTTTATCCCTTCATTGATTTTTTAAATTCAAGCTGCTGCATTCATGGATGTGATTCTTTTTATTAATATTATTATATCTTTTATTGAAATTGATCTTTTATATTATATGATATGTATGTATATATATAATATATTTATCTTTTATATTATGATATCTTTTAATAAAATTGATTATTTGTGTTTGCTTGTCTTGGATGTGTTTCTATGGAAAGACAGGATATAAATTTGTTAAACAACAATAAAGAAACAATAGCCTCTCTCTGCTCCCAGAACCTCCTGTCCAATACAAGACTCCCTCTCCATTTGTATTTTTTGCTGCTTCTATTCCCATACCAGCTACCAACAATATCCTCATCTTCCGGCCCTACCTTGGTTCACATAGTACAAACTGATGCCCAGCTATAATACCTGTACATAGTAGCTGAATTTTAAAGGGAGCAGCTAATGAGATGCAAGTGAGAGAAGTGACCGCTAGGAGGAGCAGAAGGCAATTTGTGCCTAAGACTTAAAGGTAGTTAAAAAGACACAGAGATCCAAAGTGCATCAAACTCTGGAGTGCAGGGAAAAGGTGACTGCAGTCTGATGGAGGAGGAATTAATATCGGGATTTCCTTTGGGTTTAGAAGGTTGGTTGCATCATAAATGATTTCCACACAACCAGAAAATCAGAAGCACGTCCCCAGACTCGCTTCTTTTAAGCTATTGAAAGAAGCCTCTTCAGAGGCACTCATTTTGCAGCTGAGACAATGAAGTTACAGCTCGTTGTTTTTCAACACAAATTCAGAGAAATCCTCTGCTACCTGTACTGATCCTGGTACTAATCACTGAATGCAATTACATAAGGGAAGGTAAGTACTAAATCCGCACGCTTTATATTCATCATCTTTCAAAACCCTGACTAACATTAAGAACCAAAATCCAAGAATATTGGAAAAGATAGCAGAAGTAGAATGTGGCTCCTGTTGTTAATTTTTGGGTACAATTCTATAAAGGGTGGAAGATCATGTGCATGGCATTGTTCCCCTTTGGGGGAGCTGTTTTAATAAAATGTTCTCCTCCCCAACGGTTTCAATGGTAAGGAAAATACATAAACCAGTTCCAAGATTTGATGTGCTTTCCTCCTAGTTCTGATGTGAGTGTTGGGGAGTACAGATACAGATTCATTGCGTATACAACCTATGGGTGTGTGTAAACAACAACTGAAAACACATACAGTTATCTGCATGTACACAGGTTTCTACATGAGCTGTACAAAATTAACAAGTGTACACTCTTTCACACAAACACCTGTACATGTGTAGAGATAGCTTGTATTTGCATCCAGGGCAATGTGTTTGTATTTTGTGTACCTATACCTCAGGGGAATAGGAGGACTTTGGATCCAAAGTTTAGCCTGATCCATTTTCAACATGACTCCAGAAGCCCTCCTTTTTGCTTTGTCTGATATTGGAGCAACATTCATAGGGGAGGGGGGCAAAATTTGGATGGAAGCAGGAGTGGCTGGACACTGCTAAGGATGGAAGAATCTATCTAATTTGGTTTTCTCAGCTTCTATTTTTTCCACATTCAGTTCACTACATATCTGCAGCAATCTGTATTTCTTAAGAAAAATCCCCATGAAGGTTGTTCTGCATTTTTGTGTGTATTTCTTACAGACACATTTTGGCCAGCAATATAATGCAATTTTGTATGGTACTTTCACAAATCTACATTTTTTTTTTGCACACTTTCCCATAATACGTGCATATTTGTGAACACTGTTTGGATAACTACATCACAAAATTTGGATAGTATGGGAGGATGGCTATGTGTTGATTATCATATTATACCAGAAAGTGTGAATTTGATAAATTTAGCATTGAATGTGAAATGAATCAAATTTCCACGCCATTCCTACCCTCCACCCATGGATTTCGCTCTCAGTGTGCACCTCTGTATTAAAATCAGTGCTCTGATTATGTTATAGGGCTGCCTTGACCTCAGTTGGATAAAGACAATGTGGAAGAATGAAGAAGGAAACCAGACAGCAATCAAAGAATTCATCCTTTTGGGATATGGGGATCAGCCTGAGCTGCAGCCTTTGCTTTTGTCCCTCTTCCTCATGATTTATATTTTGACGCTAGCAGGGAATTTCCTCATCATTTTGCTGGTTGTGGCTGATCAGCACCTTCAAACTCCCATGTACTACTTCTTGAGTAATTTGTCTTTCCTGGAGATTTGCTATAGCTCCGTCACCTTGCTCAAAATGTTGAGCAATTTGATAACTGGAGAGAGAACCATTTCTGTTAGTGGCTGCATAGCCCAACTATTTTTCTTTGGCTTCTTTGCAGCTATAGAAACATACCTCCTGGCAGCAATGTCATATGACCGCTACCTGGCAATCTGTAAACCCTTACACTATGCCTCCATCATGCATGGAAAGCTCTGTGTTAAGCTCATGGCTGGGCCATGTATTAGTTCTTTGCTGGGCAATGGCATAGTAGCCTATCTGATGGCCCAGATATCCTTCTGTGGTCCAAATGTCATAGACCATTACTTTTGTGACTTGATCCCAATGGAAAAACTCTCATGCAGTGATACAAGCCTGATCAACCTCTTCGCCTTCCTCTTGTGCGCATTGTACACCATCACCCCATTCCTGCTGACTCTCATATCCTATGTCTGCATCATTGCCACAATCTTAAAGATCCCATCTGCTATTGGTAGGAAAAAAGCATTTTTGACCTGCTCCTCTCATCTCATTGTAGTTTGCATTTTTTATTCTACAATAATAATCGTCTACATGTTGCCAGCCACCCCGACTCTGAGAGATCTCAATAAAGTATTCTCCCTTTTCTACACCATCCTAACTCCCTTGATCAATCCCCTCATCTATAGCTTGAGAAACAAAGATGTTCACAAAGCCCTAAGAACGGTTTGTAGTAGATGGCTATTTTTTGTAAGGAGTCATCTGAATTTGTCAAGGATCCGGCTGAATTCATCCCTTTCCTCAGTGCTTAAAAGTCAATCAGAAGTTTTGAGGCATAGCTGCTGACCTCATCTGGGTGGCCACACCATTTGGTTGTTGAATTCCTTTTGGTGTACTCAAAAATGTTGTTGGGATAATTTTTGCTTTCGGTTCACATTTCTGAGCAACTCTTGTGCTATGACTTTTAGCTTAGCAATGACATGTCAGTTGCTTGCTCTGTAGCTGCTTAGCCCTGTGTTGATGGCAGTAATATGTATAAACAAACAAATGGAATATATCCTTGTGCTTCAAGGCATCATCCCAACATCCACATTTAAACTGGAGCTTCTATCCAGGAGGTTAAGATAAAAATATCCAGTATAGCTTGTCAGTGAATTGTGTGCCTTGGAAAGATGAAGACCTGGAAAGTTAAACAACAAACAAACAAACAAATCCCAATTGGACACCACATCTGACCTGGTTTGAGTTTGCAGTATGAGGAGAGGTGAGTTTAACTGTTCCACCCATTGCATTTATTATGAACCTCTCTTGCCCTCCCCTTCTGCTGCTGCTGCTAGAATGTCAGAGCAATTTCAGCTGCAGTTCAGCACAGAAACTCAGAGAGGAGCAGTAAGGTTGAATCTTTATTCAGAGGGAAACATCAGCGAAACTCTGTGGGCAGGTCTAGCCTGATGAATCAGTTGCCAGAAATGAAGATCTGAGCCTCCCACTTCCTCCTAAGATTCCTCCTCAGCTGGCTGCCTTCCTAACCATTGCAAACTCCTTCGAGGAGGGGCTATCTGTGCCTTTTGTTCTGCTTTATGTAATACCCTCCTTGATCTTGGGGACAGAAGAGGAGGGGAGAAGGAAATAGTGGAACTGGCAGGTTGCTGGGGATCCATCACAGCCTCAGCC